ACTAAGGGTGGGAGAGAATTTTAAAGTGGGAGAGGATCTGCCAGAAGATGAATTTTATTTTGTCTGCTCTATAAGGCTATTAGGACACTTTTTCATGAAGAATCTCTAACACAACTAGATTTTTGACCAGCCTCTTTTCTTCACGCTCCCCTCTCTATGTTATCTCCACTCCATGGGAAAAGGCTTGAAACGTTTCCTACAGAGACTTACCCAAGAACACCAGGACTGTCCCCACCCACTGCATGTTGCTGATGGGATTAGCAAATAGAATGACCGATGCTAAAATTGTGAAGAACTTCCGTGTTGTGGTGATGATGGAACAGGTCAAAGGTCCAAAGTACACCACGGTCATGAAAATGAAACTCTGTTAAACGAAACAAAGAAAATCTTTTGTCATTCTGCCTGGAAAAAATTACTGCACGTATCGTCTTCATAGTGTCTCTTTTTTTGCAGGTAGCCAAAAGAGTCTATTCCAAATCTTGATTATTGGCAGGCAAATTTAAACCAACTTTACTCTTGTAGATGACCTGCACAAAAAGCAAGTGATAACCTAAGCGTGGGGTGGTGACACAGCTTTACTTTTTTATCTTCAAAGTATGCGAGTAAATCCCAAATGAGCATGCAGGATAGGGAAGGGGGATGTATTCACCTGTCCCAGCGCACTCGTGAGGCCGAACAGCAGGATATTGTAAATGATGCTGGGGTAGCGTTCCGCAAAGCTCAGGAACTCCCAGAGCTCGCCGGTGAACAGGATTCCTAGGAGAGAGATCAAAGGGAGGAGCAGGAATTGGCAGCCCCTGTCTACGCGGCGCGATCTCAGCTTACGCTCAGCACCGGGCGAACGCTGAACTCTGCGCAGCCGGGGCTGGGAGAAGCTGGGACCTTCCCTGGTAGCCAATTTGTCCCATGAAAACACCCCAAGCCCTCAAATCCATGACAGAGCCAGCGAGCAACAACTCTGGAGAGCAAAGGGACCTTGGGTAACTGCACCGTGCACGGAGCAGTGTCCCCTAGTGGCATTAAAAGGGATACACTGAACAATGCAGACCCTATTTTCCAGGCAAAAAAGAAAATCATCTCTGTGCAGGACCCGTTCTGCACATTTCAGCGCAGGACACCGTGTCTCTTCTCACAGCAGCCTTGTGGCCGCGGTTTTGCGGGCTGCTCCTTACCAGCCCCTAGGAACAAGGTGGACCAGAGATTAACGTTTAACATCATGTGGTTGGAGCCAGTTTGGTAGTGAGCTCTCATGTGGTCCTGGGATACACCCGTCAGTCCATCCAGAGTCAGAGACAGGAGCTGGAGAGGGGCAGCGGGGAGAGAGAGAGGGAAGAGCAAAGGGAATCTTAAGTTATTTCTTTCTTAGGAGGAACACTTCAAGCCCCTTCTCTTTTTGCTTTCCCTTTACATTTCAGCCACCTGCAAACCAGCAACTGGGCGGCCTCAGAGCTGATGCTGCGGGACGCGGGCGCTCGAGCAGCGACTCCCTGCCACAGCCCGGGCCCAAGCCAAGGCTGCGCCCGTGGATTAACACCAGCTTTGGAGCACGTTCCCTCACCAAAAGGCACAGCCAAACGCACCAAAGCCGCCTTCGCCTGCCCAGCCTGGCCCCCAGCGCAGCCCCGCGGCGCTCGGACGGTGCCGACACTCACCAGGAGCAGCTCCCCGTAGCCAAAAATGTGGTCGTCGCTTCCAGCCCCCTTCTTCGGCTTGTACATGAACAGGGCCACGCCGGTGACGATCAGGAGGACACACAGATACTTGGCCAGCGGATACTTCTTCCGCAGCAATGTCACTCCCAAAAGCATCACTGGAAAGGAAAAGCAACACTGTGAACAGCTCCCAAAAGCCTCTTGGGGGAAATTTACTTTTGCTCAGTAAAAGATTAGGCAGATATTGCACTGCTCACTCCTCTTGTGGCAGGAAAGACGTGAGATGACAGATTAAAATATAAATTAGGTCCATGGAGTGGGTCAGAGAGTGAAAAATCTGCACAAGAGGAGAGGCGAAGTCTGCTTACCTGGAATGGGCTTACAAGATTTGCCTAGGACCTATAAAAGAGAAAACAATGTAAGCAACAGCGTTATCACTGTTTGGAAAAAAAACAGCATAAGCAACAGCGTAATCACCGCTGGACCACAAGGAGCAAAGAGCTCGTGGCACTGTGAGCGTGACTGTGCGTGACCCAACCACCTCGACCTGTGCGGCGATTAAACACACCAGAAACGTCAGGGGCCAAGAACAGGCAGGGAGGCCTTTCCAGCAACAGCGGCCAAGGCCTCAAACAGGGTCTGAGGCCAGCGCCAAGTCCCAATTTCACGTCCCCACCGCGTCTAGGTGCTGCTATTCCCCTTCTGGGAACCTTAACCCGTCTCTACAACGCACAGGGCTGCTGGGGGAAACGCAGCAACTGGGCATGGCCCCATAAAAGCGGCTTTGGGAAAAGAAGCATCAAAATCGCATCAAAGCCGCCCTCCGGCGCTCGCGTTGTGCGGCGGGAGCCACCTCGGCCGGCGGGAGCTGGAAGCGGCTCCGCGGCGGCCGCTCTTCACCTGTGTCGGGTAGTTGACGAACTGCAGGGCCGAGTTGCTGGAGACCATGGCGCCCAGGTAGGAGAGCGAGCAGGCGGCGTAGAGCCAGCTGCGCGTGCGGTCCGGCCGCGCCGCGTCCAGGCAGCGGATCACTGTGAAGGAGGGAGAGAGGGAGCACAGGGCTGGCTGCGGGCCCACGGGGCTGCCCCGCGGAGCCTCCCGAACCGACCCCATGGAGCCCCCAGGCTCCTCCGCAGTCCCCTGCGCCACCCCCGTGGAACCCTCAGACACTCAAGGAGCCCCTAATTGTCACAGAGCCCCCGGCGCCGTCCCCATGGAGCCCCCTGCTCACTTACAGAGCACCCTGGACCACCCAATGGAGCCCCCAGACCCTCA